TAGGCATTCACAGTTGTTGATTCACAGATGAATGTCTGTTCAGTTTTTCCACTGGAAAACTGACACCACCTTTAAGTGGAATTTAAAAGTTTCATTTCATATGTAATATTATAAGACTAGGTTGTAGTTTGGGTTATACATTAAGATAAATATTTGACTGCATTTAAAGGGGTAGTTCACCCAAAACTTATTTAAAACCTATTTGAACCTCGTAGATTACAAAAAAAGATGCTGGTACCCATTGACTTGCATAGTAATTACATCTATTGAAGTCGTCTTTCTGCATTCTTCTAAATATCTTTTGTTTTCAACAGAAAAAAAAAACTTTGGGAAAAAAAGGGTTTATAACTAGATAAGGGAAAGTTAATAATGAGGTTATTTTATGGTTTTGGGTGAATTATCCATTTAAGAAATTCCTATGGGTTCGAGGAACAATTCAGATGTAAATGAGTTCTAAAAACCAAACATGCTGGTTGCGAAGGGCACATCCATTAGTCGTTTCATTCATCTCAATTAAAGCATTATTTTGGTGATTAACATTGCAATTGTGCTTGTTTTAAACCATTAGTATTCCAAAGAAAACAAGTGTCAACATGATATTGTGTTAATTTCAGCTGAATATGATGACACAGAGATCCTGTTATTGTAACAGCACATCACTGTTATTTGTATTTAAATCATTATTGTGAATAAATAGCTTAAAAGGAAACATTTTGATCTGCATTTTATCTGCTTTAAGTAGGGCTGCATCATTTGGGTTATACGTCTTGTTGCATTGTGTTCTGGTTAAAATGCTTTAAAATGTTTTTTAATAAGATATTGCTATAACGTAGCATTACAGATCGTTTAATTTTATATTTAAACTAATCATTAAGAATAATTTAATAAAATAATTAGAATGTAATGACAATTGTATGATTATTATTAGAATATAATAACTTGATGTGACAAACTGTAGGGAGACCAACAAGAGGAGGCTACTAACTGTAAAATTCAGGTTTCAAGCATAATACAAGCTGTTTTTTTATTATACTTGCATATAAACATAGATAGATAGATAGATAGATAGATATTATCTATTTAATTTATCATGAAGTATTAATAAAAGTACACTAAAACAGAAGTTTTTGTTCACTAGATTGTGCCCTGTTTATTTCGGAGTAAAATTGGCTTTATTTAAGAGATCACACCAATATCACTCAGTGTAAAACTCACTCACTATCCTTCAGCTTAGCACCCAACTTTTAAGGGATCGCCACAGTAGATTGAACCACACAAGTGCCCTGGCATATGTTTTATGCAGCAGATATCACTCAGTGTACAGTATATAGCAGATTTTAAGGATAAAGTATAAAAAATATTGTTGAAAAGTCACAGTGCAGCACCAAAATACTGTACTAATTAATTTTTTTAGAAATCTTTATATTAGCTGTACTGCATACCAGTAGATTTTCTAAGCACTTTTGCAATCATTTAAAATATAAATTTTAGTCTTTGACGTTATCAATTGTAGGGATAGTTTACAGTTTAACCCAAAGAATGACCAGTCTGGTTGATGAAGAAGCGCCGGAGTCAGAGATTTTAAAAAAATAAATTAAGTTTACTGAAGATAGTTTGCAGTTTCATTCGCAGAAGCCAGCTTCAACACTCTCAATGAGTTCCTAGGCCGCTCTGCTTACAGTTTCAACAATCAAACAATTATACTCTTTACACAAGTCCAGAAAGGGTGGGATCCAGGTAAACAGTTCTCATTGGTTACAACAGAAATAGACAATTCTAAATACATGCGTCAAAGAAACATAGTATCTACTTCCAGATATGGATGGCCTTAGTGTGTGCGTCAAAGAAAGCCTTGTATTTGTATCCAGATATGGATGGCGACCTGATGCCTAGAGGTGAGGTCGCCCTAAGTTATTAGGAACTGATCTCCAACCTGTAAAAAGCTAAACCAGGAACACAATAGACACAAAAGACCATCTGTGTTAAAGACTCAAGGATGTTTCTTGTACGTTCAGCTGTGTTATCAGGCTGGTTCAAGACTGTTTCCATCAACAGTCTGCTGCAATATCTTGGCTACACACAGTCTGTCTCCACACAAAAAGGAATTACATTACTATTAATTATACTCAAAAACAGATCAATCAAACAGCTATAAAATTATAGGCAATATATCAGGACAATAAAACAGGTGTCTTCTTCTCCTCTGTATTGGACCTCTAATCATAAGACCAGATGGAGAGAGAGAGGTCTCCATGACCTATGACCTGGTTTGTGTGTCTCCTGAAAACCAAGTTAAAATAGACAGGCAAAAAGAGAAACAAGGACACAGAACATTCTTGCAGTAAGCAGTTTTAACTTATTCGTTAGTTAAAATCAATTCACAGTTAAATACTGAGAAACAGGATGATGAAAAGGATAAACGTTGGTCCATGATGAGACGGATTGGAAAGCAGAAATCCGAATCCTTCACAATCATAAGGTATTATTATAACATATAAATAAAAAATGCATGACTTATGCATCAATCAAGAGGTAATGCCCTTTACACTTTAGTAGAGTGCCAAATGCATATTTTTACTTGAAGTTGAGAGAGGTACTACGTTTCACAATTATTCTCTAAATATTAATAACTTAACCACCTTTTTTATTTTCTGTTGGAAGCAACTTAACTACATTTTTATCATTGTGTTTTAGTGCTGTAGAACAGCGGTTCCCAACAGGGGGGTCCAAACAGGGGGGCCTCAGCAAGATCTGTGGGGGGTTGTGTCATATTTTATTTTTATTTTTTTTAGCAGTGAACATTTAGGAGAATGATCATGTTGCCTTAGTTCATTTTATCCCCTAACTGACCAAAAAATGGACAAATTTGTAGTCTCACTGATTCGCCTTCGGCAGCTAATAGTTAAGACCCAAGCATACAGGTGAGAAAGCTCCAAGCATTTCAGGTTAGCAACACTAGCAATATTGGAAACACAAAATGCAGGAAATAATACCTAGATAGTTACCTGAACTATGGTTTTATTCTATTTTCACGAAGCAAAGAGTCCCTGACCCAGCCACAGTGCATTATCTGCATCAAAGTTCTTGCTAACAAAAGCATGAGGCCTTTCAAATTCTAAAGACATTTGCAGACGACTCATCCCCAATACCGCAAGGTGCACTCAATACAAATGGCCTACTGATTTTTTGCCTTTAAATTTTACATTAGGGTATTATTTGTGCATAAACATATCTAGATATAGTAATAAACATAGATATAGTAGTAAAGTTTGAAAACAACCTTTTTTGTCATACCTACTGCAAACTTACATAAGCGATAATATCATTAAATGTGGAGAGGGGCCTTACAATGTTTTCCAGGGGAAAAGGGGGTCCCAGACAAAAAAAAGGTTGGGAACCACTGCTGTAAAAAAAAAAAACCTCAGGATGTCTCTGGAGTCTGGACAAATGTTGCAATACTGATGCACAGCTTAATATGCATCATATCAGGATAGGCTGCCACCCCCACATCAGCCAGTTTAATTGGTACAGTCCAAGCCTCAGTCAATGGCGTTTTAAAACCTGCATGTTGCTAGAATGCCTTTCAGAGTGAGGGAGGGGCTCTGAGCTTTATTTCCGCAGTACAGCATCATCACCATCTATGTTTAGCATCATAGGTTCACTATACACAGACTCTTGTACAGTACAGCTCTTAACAGACACCCAAAAATTTTGTGAAGAGTTACATTCAGAATTGTGACCATGACTGTGGGAAAGGTAAGTGCTTTTTAAAACGAATATATTTCTTTACTGTGTTTTAAGATTTGATCATTTATATTTGTCATAATTGCAGATTAAGCTGAAGCAATAGTTTTTGTTGTCTGTGGTTGATATGAATGACTGTAAGTTCTTAAATATGTTGTCTTCTTCCTTCTGGTTTTATCTGTTTATCTCACATTAAATAAGGCTTTGTCATGTTTTATGCATATGTTTCTATGCTGCCATATTCTAGAGCTTTCATCATAATCTTTTTACACATTAATAAAGTAAAATAATTTGCACATTTATTTTCATGTTCATAATACTCCTGTCCTGATTAAACCAGTCGATTTTTAGTTGTTTTGATTTAGTTGAAATTCTGTGGATTTTGTGCTGCTCTCACATGCTAGAATTAAATTCAGCTTCTAATCTTTTCAAGTGGCTTGTGATGTCATTTACATTCAATAAACTCTCCAGTTACAGTAAGTCAGTCCTTGATATGTAACGGCCGGATGAATTACTCTCCCCAGTTACGTAGCACACACTTTTAGATGCCATTATGCTGTCAGGTGTCCATGAAGAATTCCTGATGTAGATATATGTGACCCTGATCCACAAAACCATGTGTACTTTTGTAGGAATCGTAAACAATACATTGTAGGAGTTCAATATGATTGATTTTTATTTTATGCCAAAAAAATCTTTGGTATATTAGAGTCCCTATTATGCGGTTTTAAAAATGACCTTGCATGCAGTGTGACACAGCTGTAAGTGAATGAAAACATCAGCTGAGGTTAAAATCTGAAAATCCACTGTTTAAAACTACTGATTCTTAAAATAGAGTCGACTCAAGAGTTGAGAATATGAATCGCCCTCTGTTTGTATTGACAATTGACCCTTCACTAATTCCCAACCTCCTTAGTTACTGTTGTTACGCCTGTCAAGCTTTCATGCCTGTCACGTCTATTACAATATGTATTTAATTACAAATTTTTGGCAAACAGGTGAGATATCTAAGAAAGCCAGACAAAAAGGACTGCAGTATGTATTACAGGGGTATATTAATAAACACACAACCAATTAGAAAATAATTTCCGCAATATTGAAGCTAAAGCCATAGCTGCTTCATACACTGACCATTCAACAGCTTGGCTCATGCACAACAGGAAAGGTGAAATTTAAAAATAATCTAATAATAACAAATTAAACTGTGATTTCCCTTTTTTTTTTTTTTTGCCAAAAATCCTGATAGACTAATTGTTGCGCAATGAAATATAGTGTTACTAACTGACAAGAAAACACACATTGACTGTGCTTCTACATAATTTATTCATAGAAGAACAGCCAGAAAGGCGAAATTGATGCATTTGTGCCAAATATTAGCATCATTGACCCATACCAATGTACAGTACCTATAATTATAGGTACCTATACAGTTTGTTTGTATGCTTCTTTATCCAGTTTCTATTCTAATTTGCAGTTAAGTGGAAGAAATAAATGAATTGAAATACGAATAAAAGTATAAACAGCAGATTTGAACTAATAGATTTTCAGCAAATAATAATCCGACACAAAAAAATAGTAAAGCAGACACTAACACGATATAACGTCGTCACCAATGACTAAATCTCTAAAAGATGGACAAAAACATTGTAGCTCTGACATGGGCATGAGGGATATAAATTACTGAAAAATAGCTGCAGGTGAAGTTGATTGACCGCAAGTGCTCAGTTTGTGATCACATCTATGTTTTGTTCTGTTGATATGTCGTCCAAAATTTTGTAGCTTGAAACGGATGGAAAATTACTGAATTGTGCTGCTTTTATGGCCCCTCAAACATGCCATGCTGGGTTTTCTCAGCTTGGGTTTCAGGTTTTGGAAAGGGAAAAAAATTCTACCATCCTTCCTGTCCAAACTTTTAGGATACCGGGTATTAGATTTGCACAGTCCATATGCACGACGCTTTGGCTTGTTTACCTTGCTCGAAAGCTTGACAGACCTCCTACTCGTAGCTACACTTGCTTAGCCATGATTGGTGTGTGGCTTTTTTCGGGTGTGGCTTAGCAAAGGGTCAATTGGATATATCATCATTGGAAGAGACCGCCACTTAGACAGTAACTTTTTGTTCAGACACCTATCTCGTAATACGTTGATGGTATTCTTTAGGAAATATACATAAAGTTGACTTACACAAAGTGTCAAATAAAGTTTTTATTTGCACAAATTTCAGTAAATGACTAGTTGACTCGATTGCACATCGTACTGAATAGAAATGTCTTGTGTATGCATATACTTTATTTTCCTGATTTGGTTTAGTAGTTTGTTCAAATTAGGTGTTTGTTTAGCCAAGTAAGTTACATGTTAAGTAAATTCACACAATGCAATACAATGTAATGATAAATTAATGAATGCAATTTTATTTGTGTATATGGCTCTATATGGCCTGTTTAAAAGAGAGAGAGAGAGAGAGAGAGAGAAAGAGAGAGAAAGAGAAAGAAAGAGAAAGAGATGTTGCTCCCATAACCGTCAGGCGGTTTTGCTATTTAAGTACTTCATATATGACAGTATTTTATTATCCGGTTTTTTAGCTGTTACTACTCATTTTATAGGAATGGAGAACTTAAATTTGCACATAATGACAAAATAATTTTGAAGAGAGTATGAACAGATTTGCCACATGCTTTACTAAATCGTTTGATCGAAAATGGTTAAGGGTCACATATTTGCTAAAGATTGCTGTCCTGTCAGTATTGTACTGCACTTTTACAGCAAATAACAATAAGTTACTTAGCAAATAAACCTATAGTCTTATTAAATGAATGTAAATAATTGTACATTTACCATAAACTGAATAGCAAAATTTATTTGTTGCAGGTTTCAGTAACAAACAAATCCAACATTGGCTCAGAAGTTAAGCCAATGGCTTCAGCTCCACCAAATAATGAGGAGGAAACTGCTGATAATAGCCTTATTACTTCAGTAAACATCTATTCTTTTCACACTCTGGCAACAGCTATCAAAAATGGTTGTCAATTTTTTAAAAAGTTTAAGTACAGACAAGACAACAACATTGTTATATTGCTTTTTCAGCTGATGAGGGATGAAACAAAATCCTTATTTGCCTGAGCATTTTAAGGGACAGAGGACAAAACATTTTCTGTTGAGCACATAAGAAGATATTTTGAAGAATGTTAGAAACCACCAACCTTTGACTTCTATAGTCAAATACTAGAAGTCAACGGTTACCAGTTTCCAACCTTCAAAATAACATTATTTGGGTTCAACAGAAGAAAGAAACTTAAACAGGTTTGTGACAAGTGAAGGGTGAGTAAATGATAACATAATTGTCAGTTTTAGGTGAACTATCCCTTTATTTTAAAAGCTTAATGATATGCACAAAGTGTGTTAAAATACCTGTGGAGATTTGGGGGTCAATGGCATCTAAAAGTTCAAAGCTCCTCAAATCAACATGTTAAATATTTTCATTTGTTTAGAAGGGGGGCGGCCTAGTTATGGTGGAGTTGATCCACCTGGAGATGGTGAGACGCCTTCAGAAACCAGCTCTGATAACCAAAAGATCAGGAAGGTATTTATTCTAAAGGTATTGTTGCGTTAGTTTAGTGATCCTACTTTAGAAACTGTAGTGTGAACAAAATGGAGGAATTGAATAATAATAGTTTTTCTACAGATGTACATTTCCTTGATGATCCAGCTTTCTGTCACAGTTTCCTTCATGGTTATTTGCATTTACTGGTAAGTGTGTGTGTGTGTGTGTGTGTGTGTGTGTGTGTGTGTGTGTGTGTGTGTGTGTGTGTGTGTGTGTGTGTGTGTGTGTGTGTGTGTGTGTGTGTGTGTGTGTGTGTGTGTGTGTGTGTGTGTGTGTGTGTGTGTGTGTGTGTGTGTGTGTGTGTGTGTCTGTCTGATCTTGTTGACTGTTGTGTGTATTCCCTCTGGAACCAGAGGGATTACTGTGCTGGGTTCTGTCAGGAGCGCTGGGTCTCTCTCTGGTCCTCTCCTTCATTCTGGTTCCTCTTTCGTGTTTTTCATCCGAGCCGAGCCTACATGGCATATTTTTTATGTGTTTATATGTTTCCTCATTATCAATAACCAAGCAAGTGCATGATATTTAGTAATAATTACTTTATTCATTGTCTCACAAAAAATAGTATTTTAACATGTGTTCTCAAGGGACAACACTATTGATCTTATTCTGCAATGCGCTTTTGATTCAGTTCCTTATGGAAAAAATACATATAAATAATAAAAGGCAGAAAGCGGTCAAACTACCAGTGTGTGTACATGACTATACAGACAAAGTAGAATGATATAATAATAAAATATCAGAGCATCGAGCAGCACAATGGGCTGTTTTAACCTCTAAAATGTAAAAAGCGGCAGTAAAATTATTAATAATTTATTGATTCTGAAAATATTTAGTGATCCATGCATAAATTTGTCATTTAATAAAGGAATCACTACTCTTAGTTGTACCCCTTAAACCCAAAATATTTGCTTAAAGTGTTTTATTTTTTACTATTATTTATTTATTTATTTAAATTTTAGTTACATTTGTTTTATTTAGTATTTTGGTTTGATGTTATATTTAATGATGCTAATAATTATTGGTCTTTATTTATAATAATGATAATAATCCCATTTAAATACAGTTGTGGCAGAAGAAATAAGAGACCAAGAACTTTCTCTGGATTTATGGGTTTAAGTTAAATGTTAATAGGTATTTTATTCTATAAAGGTCTGATAACATTTCTTCAACATTTCAAATAAAAATATTGTCATTTAGAGCATTTTTAATCAGCCACTGTCAGAAAAATGAACTGTGACTGAAAAGCAAGGTTAGTAAACTGACTACTTACTGTAACTCCTCTAAAGCTACTGTAAAACATTAGTATCGTGTTGACTAAAATGAGCATGTCTGAAATCCTGATACTATACTATACTATATTATACTTCTAACAAAATAACTTAACAAAATTTTACAAAATAAAACAATAATAATGACAAATTACAAGAGAAATTTACAATATCTAAAATTATTAAAATCTATTTTTTTTTATTTTGACAATCAATTTTTTATAGGAAAAACCCACTATCTATTAAGCTAACTTTTTAAAGAAGTCTCTTCTGCTCACCAAACCTGCATTTGCTCCAAAGCACAGCAAAAACAGTCCAATTATTATTATTATTATTATTATTATTATTATTATTATTATTATTATTATTATTATTATTATTATATCTATTATTATTATCATTACTATTATTATCAATATTTATTAGCATTTGTTTATTATTTTTTTTTTATTCTTTGATGATTAAAATATTCAAATAGCTGATAAACCTGAAATAAAAAAGCTTTTGTAGCACTATATTACAATATTAAATAGCTTGGAGCAAGCAGAATTATTGACTTTTTTCTTTCTTTTTTTTAATGAACAGTTTTATTTAACAAGGATATTTTAACTTGAGCAAATGTGACGATAAAGTCCTTTAAAATGTCTTGCATGTTTAATTCTGATAAATGCAGTTCTTCTGAAATTTTTAGTAATCAAAGAAAGCTGAAAATCTTCTCCCTGTAAGCCTGTCCGCTCTGCCCACCAGGATGTAGATGTCTGTCTGAAGGACTGCAGTCCCACCTGAAAGAAGAAGAACAGGATGCTAAACTACTTAGAAATAGAAATGACTTCATGTGTAAAGTACTGACTATCGTGACCTCAGTTCAGATGAATACAGTAATTTGACCTTATTTTATTGCGCATGTCATGTAAATGTGTTACATCTACTGGGATGAACGAGTTAAACAAATATGTCACCCAAAAATAAAAATCCCCCCATAAACATTTATACACCTGACCTGAGTCTGACTTGAGGGTATACTGTATGATGGAGTAAATGTTGGGGTAATTTTCATTTTCGGGTGAACTATTCTTTTAAGCCAAAGTTGTCAATAGACCCTTTTCACATTTCTGTCATCATAGTAGGGAAAACATAGAGCGCAGTGAATGGGAGAGTGAGTACAACAAATAACTTAGTAAAATAATAAAAGACAAACTCCACAATGATGTTATAAAGACTTTCAGAAAAGGAAAAAACTAGTGTGGGACTGATGACAGCAGCCAGAGGAGAGAATAAGGTTAATTTTACTCTCAGCCTTGTAGACGCTGCATTGGAAACACATTGCACAATTCATTTTTTTTTTAATTCGAAGCAAGATGATATGATACATTCATAAACACATATAAATGTTCATATGTTTTTTTAAAAAACAAAACGTTAAAAATTTTTAAGGATTTCAGATGCCGAAGACAGCTAAACACGTCAGGCTTGTGAAAAGGGTACAGTAGTATCAGAAAGCTATCAGTAAATCGTTGTTATGTGTTTTGTGTCTGCTGTGTTGTCCAACAGAGGGTTCCAGAAACTGGCGGATGGTTTTTGAAGGTTGTCTGTCGCTTTCAAGATGGCCAGCCATTCTGGATCAAACTCAAGCTTCTTGTAGGAGCTTCCTCCACAATCTGCAATGACAAAACAACGGAATCTACTTCTGGATCTCACTAAACATGCTGAATGATGGAAACAGCAGGATCATTACCTGAAAGAAGACATTCGACAAGTGAGAGAAACCTGTTGATCTTCAGCAGCATTATTCATGATTCTCAGCCTGAAGAGACAAACAGCTTATTGTTACTCATTTTAAACTGATCTCTACATTTTATTCAGCCTTTTTTACACATTTCATGCCTGAAGCCTGTAACTGGAGAGATATAAAGTCAGATTTGAGTTCACATTGTCATAAATAAAAAATAATGAAAACGTGAGCCATTCCCAAGTAAATTGTTTTCTTTTTGTTTAAAATTACTTTTATGAAACAAAATTTCAAATATGGATGAAAAAATCTTCCACGGCCTTATGTTGTAACTGATATAGTGTATGTTACACTTTATATCCGCATAACTTATTACTTAACAGAACTAAAAACTTGCTTTTATTGTAGCTGAAAAAACAAAAAAACAATAAACATAACATAAAAACAGACATATAAAGCATACATGTATTTCTAACAAAATGCCTGGTGCATTAAGAGAGGAGAGTGTCTTACAGGTGGTCTGTCAAGCCCACTCACCTGCGTGGAGCACATTCATGCATCATACCATTATGTGAAGCATTAAGAGTATGCTTTACCAGGGTTGGTGGTGAGCGATGAATCTGAGTAAGGGCGTGTGCACACAAGACATACCTGAAGAGCGGTGGGGGTGAGTTGCACTCGACATACCTGAAGAGCTGGGAGGGATGCAGTGGAGAGGAGTGTGCAACGTATTTAAGGACTTGGTGAGAGATGCGCGATTTTATTAATTCATTTGCGGAGTCACTATGCAGTTGTGGGATACTCCCGGAGCTTCTAAGAGGCTTGGGATGTCTGCATTACAGTAATCCAGCCTAGAAGTCATAAACACAAGAACTAGCTTTTCTGCATCTGAGATGGAGCTTCTTAACTTAGCAATATTTCTCAGATGAAAGAAAACATGGGAGATTTGGTTTTCAAAAGTTAAGTTGCTGTCTAATATGACAGCCAGATCTTTTATAGCAGAGGTAACGCTAACTTTGTATCCCTCCAATTGCAGGTCAAGTTGTGAGATCTGTTGTGTACAGGAGTTTGGCTCAATAAGTAATACTTTTGTTTTATCTAAATTTAGGAGAAAAAACTTTGTTGGTCATCCAGTCTTTAACATCTTTAAAACACTCAGTTAGCTTAAACAGTTCAGACATCTCATCAGGTTTAGTTGAAATATATTATTTAGTATCATCTGCATAGCAGTGAAAGCTGATCCAGTGTCTTCTAATAATGTCTCCCAGGGTTGGCATGTATATTGTAAACAGCAAAGGGCCTAAAACTGATCCTTGAGCTCCCCATTCTTTACTAGCCTGACTTGTGAAAGCTGTCCATTTATTTAAGCAGTTCTGAGTTGAATGTGGTTGGAGCTAAACTATGCAGAGCTGTGGCCCTCTAAGAATTGAGTTTGAGACCACTGACTTAAACCATTGTAAAGCCTGTCCCTGGACACCTGTAGATTTTATGCAATCTATGACGATATTGTGATCGATGATGTTAAATGCAGCCCTGAGATCAAGTAAAACTAGTAATGAGATGCAGCATCGGGCAGCTAAAAGTAAATTGTTGGTTATTTTCACTAACGCTGTTTCTGTACTGTGATGAGGCCTGAAACACTTCAAAAATTAGTCCATCTGCAGATAGCAGAATAATTGGGCAGAAACGGCTTGTTCCAGTATTTTCAGGATAGAGCTCAGGATAGCAGGTACCTTAGAAGAAACATCCTAAACATGAGCACCAGGAAAGCAGTGGGTGCTTACATTGTTACCTTTATGGATGCAGTGAGGACGTGACGAACAATGGAATTGCCAATGATTGTGACGCCGCGTCCCATCTTGTGGAGGGGGCAAATCGGTTCTTTGAAGGGATCTCGAACACCGGAGGCAGCAGCGGAGGAGAGCCCCTGCACCAGGTCCTGACTTATGTTGTGTCGCTGCTGCACCCAGGGGCCTGTGCTGGAGTAAACCACACCTGAGTGTGCCGCATCCCCGGTGCGCTGGGCCTGGACAGAGAAACACAAGGGGTTGAGGCGGATGGAGTGTTGAGATTGTATCACACACTTAACTCAGATAAGCGAGCAGCAGCCCGGGAGACGTCAATTGAGGCCCATTGTTCCCAGAGCTATGCCCGCTTCATCTCGAGGTCACAGATCTGTGCTTCCACTGCCTCCAGCTCCAGCTCGAACACCTCCACCAATGAGGAACAAAAGCGGAATTATTCAGGGTGAAGAGCCAAGACTATAAAAACTAGGTCAATAGTACTATTTAGTAATAACTAATAACAGTGGCGAGGCTACATAAGGGCCAGGGTGGCACTGGCACACTCAGATTAAGGGTGGCCCAGTGAGACAAAAATATTTTAAAGCCTAAAATTCTTTATTGAAAACATGTAACGAATGTAAGGTGGAATATGAATGATATTGAATGTCGATGATTAACAGCATCCTTTAGTTATTCTAAGTTTGTCAATCAAATTTAAAGTCCCCCTACTATTGCACAAAATGGAACTGTCCAACTGTTGCACTTTATGCTGATGAGCGCTTTTGTTTTTGACTTGATTTGATTGAGGCAGCAGCTTTAAAATGAAACTAAGTGCTGTCCAGCTGACTATTCTGATCTGCTGGTCAAGAACATTATAAGTTATAAAGCGACAAATGAGTATTAATAATGAGTATTATAATAATTAGGGCTGTCAAAATTAGCACGTTAATGCATGTGATTAATTTGAAACATTTAACGCGTTTAAAAAAAAATAACGCAGTTGCTATTTGTTTTTGTTTTTTTTGCTTTCCTGTAGTAGTCGACGTGTGTTTAGGGATGGAGGGTGCATATAGGCGACCTAGGCAGTCCTTATATTCATCTGCAAACTGGTTACTTTTGGGTTGAGGGCAGCACGGTTGCCGTTTGCCTACACTGTAAAAAAATTCTGTAAAATTTACGGAAAAATACTGGCAGCTATGGTTGCCAGAACTTTTTTGTAAAAAATACAGAATTTTTTTAATTAAATAGTTTTTACAGAAAAATTTTGTATTTTTAACAAAAGAAAAATTTATTAATTAACTGATGCAATGATAATTTACAAACTTTTGAGTCAATTATTTATATTTGCAGAAAGCAACTACATTTTAATTGGAATTTACTGGCATTAAAATCAATATTTTAAATGTCTAAGTAATATATCTGAGCATATTGATATTGAGAACCATTGTACATCAGTTCACTACAAAAAACTTTTTAAATAATGTAAAGTCATTAAATGCATTATTATACTCAAGTGTGATTGTAATTAACAAACAGATTTTCACTGCATTAGTAACTACACAATTACATTTAAACAAAAGAAGATGTAGCATACCATCAGATTTCTCTTAGTTCATCTTGGACTTGCTCACAGACACTACTATCCACCACAATGGTGACACAAAAATGTTTTACAGTATTTTGCTGTTGTTTTTCTTGATTTTACAAAAAAATACTGGCAGCTGTGGTTGCCAGTAATCTACTGTTTTCAACATTTTACATTCGTAAATTCAGTTTACAGAATTTTTCTGTTAAAAATACATTCCACAGTCTGTAATTTTTTGTCAAACACATTTAACCCCTTAAATCCCCGAGCAAAATCCTCACTAGTGTCCTTACTACAGAGGGTTGAACACTCAGACAGTGAGAAAGTTAATGAAATAATTAAGTGACTAATTAGAGGAGGATCGAGAATTATTGATGAACATCTATTAACAGCAGAATCACTGAAAGAAAGAACAAGACCAAATAACACAAATTACAGCCAAAATTAAAGATGAAATCAACTGAGAATAAAACTCTTAATAAAATAATAATTAACAAAAACAAAACAAATTACACAATAAAATGTAATTTCTCAAGATCTCAGCAGAGATCAATAAACAACTCCACAAACATTAGGAGCTTCACTTATTACTGACCTTTCACTTTATTTCTGTCATGTGAACAAAAGCTCTTAATGAATTTTTTGTTGTTCATTTGAAGTCACCATGACGGAGGACAGAGTTTGCTTTAGTTGGGATCTTCAACTCCTTGATTAAAAAAAAAAAAGGTTTTTATTTTTTGGTTGCTATGACTAATTGTGTTAATAACTTTATTTGTATAGCAAGAGGAAGCAAAATAAAGTATAACATTAAGTCTGATGAGATTAACTAGCGTATCAAAGCAAGACCCTTGTCTTCTTGTTGAATATCATGTTAGGTGTAAAAATTTAAAATTATACGCAAGTGAAACCACTGGAGCTTCAGCAATAAATGACAGTTTAACAGGTCTAAATACACCATTCACAATAAGAATGTTTCAACTATGGCAGAACTCAAAAACACACAGACATCAACAATTAGTCTTTGAATCTCAATAATGGTGAAAAACAAAAAAATCAAAATCAAATAAAAAAACAACCCAGAACAAAGAAAGATATTTTAAGAGCATAAAGCTGCATAATTTATTCAAGCTGCAATGCATGCTGGGAGTTTTGTAATGTGCTGGTACCCAGCATGCATTGCGGAATGAGTACATTTAGCAGCTTTTTTTTTTTTTTAGCAACCATGGTTGAGGTTCATATCCTTATTCTTAATGTCTGTGTGTCGCAAATGAGTAGCTAGAATAATTATTAATTCCTTCATAATTGTTTGTGATCCTTCTGGAAGCTGTACTACTGTCCCAAATAACATCACATAAATTTAATTGATTAACTTTTTTATGATTTAGGAAATTCATTTGCAATAAGTACATCAAAGTTTCGTCACATTTCTTGCTATAACTGATGAGTTTCAGAAACACAATTGACAGCCAGAGAAACATTAAGATATAAGAGTAACAGTCCAAGAGCTCAACTAAAGCAGTCTCTGATCTCCATGATGGAGAGGTCAAAATCAAAAATTTTTATTAAAATTATAAACCTCTGTTCATTATCAAATATTCTTGCAGATATGAGAGAACTGAAGTCAAACTGTAATCAGTGAAGCTGCTAATGCTGTTATTTAATGGAGTTGTTTAATTCTCTGTTTTGATTCAGTTGGTTTGGTGCGAGGCTGTGTCTGTAGTTTTATTTCTTGTTCTTTTCTTCAGTGATTGTGCTTGTTAGCTGCAGGTGTTCATCAATTCACTTATTTGTGGTCATTCACTTTGTCTAGTGGGCTAAACTAATTAACTAATTTAGGGACTAGTGAATGAGGGTGTGTGGTTAGATTTTAGACACTCTGATTAGTTTCTCGAAAACGAAGGTTAGATCTGTTACAGCTATTTTCCATATTTTACACTGAAATAAGCTGTTAATCGTTTAACAGGTTTTCACTGTAGATTGTACAGACTTTTACCGTTAAAATAACGGATATTTTTTACAGTGTAGAGCATCAGTTAAGCTTACTCTGGCCCTGCGTTTGTTTACCATGCAAAGAAATTTAGATAAGAGAAAGGACACACTTTTAGAAGGAAAGTTTTAGTATAAAACAATTAATGTCGCATCACCAGGCTATCTTGCGTTTCCTCCAGAGTTTGATGCAATTTTGGGTGTTTCATTTTTAATCTTTAGACTTTAACTGAAGTTCAGCAGTTCACTGTCATTCACAGTCCACTTAGAATCCAACATGGAAATCACTTTTGTTTGTTATTGGCATTGATTGTTTTGAAATTCAAATGGCACTTCCATGCATTTCTGTAATAAATATGCCATTTTGTGATTAATCCTGATTAATAACAAAAAAAGTGTGATTAATTACGTAATTTTTTTTTTATCATTTGACAGCCCTAATGATAATACATTTATCTGGTTTAACTTGTTTTCAGCATTTAATGAAATCCCTTATTTTGGTAGTTTCATGGTAATTTTGTAGTGTAGTAATCTTGTTCAAAAGTCTGCAAGATTTAACAGGACATTTATTGATCTTATTTGCAGAAGAGTAGTATCAGAATCAGTTTAAAAAATGCTTATATGGGCACTTAAGTGTAAATGTATTGTTTACAATTTTTTATTTTTGCCTACATTTTTAAATGATATTATATGTGCATATGAATTTATGGTAATTTATTTTAAAAATTCTACTATTCATTTTAATATTATATGTTAATCATCTAGGGTCTGAGAGTAACACAATATGATTCTCTGTGTTTCCTGTACATGT